TTCCTGTTCCTAGTGAACTCCTACCTATACTTCAAAGCCCAGCCTGGATACTCCCTTTTGTGATTCTCTTAAGCAGAAGCAAGGACGTTTTCCTCTATTCCCTCAGCTCTTTTTGTCACATGAAAGAGCTTTTCACGCTGCAGTTATAGTAGACGATTTACATGTCTGTTTGGCAGCTCCATGGGCACTGACTGATGTTTGCTAAATGTGAGAAAATGAGTAAAGCCCAGCAAGAGGGAGTGATGATTCCTGGCTCCCGGGTACCTCCTGTGGCAGTGTCTACACAGACATTCATGGAGGGAAGAGGAGGGGAGGGCTGAGTTATTTCTTCCCTTGCATTTCTAACAGCCACTTTATTTGGGAGAAATAACGAATTCCTATTAAGGGTATTGTCAGACCCTAATTAATTTCCCTGATCTGGCTATATTGGTCCCGTCTCCATGCAAGGCTGTAGAGTTACCATTAATGAAACACCAAGCCAGTGAGGAGCTGAAGCTCCCACCCTCTTTAATTTAGGGGGACCATTAACACTGCTCTCTATCATCACAACGACTCGGGCCGCTTCCTTTCCTCCCTGCGGTGAAACATAGAGGGAAATGCGTCGCTAACTGCATATTACAGGGTTTTAAATTTTATCAATAGGAAGGAGGAAAGGAAAAGATCCTGTATCTTAGCAATCTGGAACCGATGGAGCAGGATTTATGGGTCCTTCAATCCCCCTTTCATTTCTTTCTTTTTCTTTCTTTTTTCTTTCTTTCTTTCTTTCTTTCTTTCTTTCTTTCTCTCTCTCTCTCTTTCTTTCTTTCCTTGCTTGCTTGCTTTCTTCCTCGCTTTCTCTGTCTTTTTTTAATTTTCTGGGGGCAAGAAGGGCCTGTTACCCTCTGAGCTTTGGGTACGGCTACACAAAAGCAGCTAACAATGAAGGCGGTGAAGGTAGTGTGATGTGACCAAGGAAAGGAGAACACCAGGGGTCAGCTCTGAATGACCCCTTCTTCGTCAGCTGACAAGAGTGAGAGCGCCAGAGTCTGCCGGCACCAAGTGGAGGGCTTGGGGAATAATGACTGGCCCGTGGGACATCTTGTGTGCCAGGCCCGGCGGCAAGCACGTTCCAGGTCCTGCACTGCTGTTATTCTAGTGCTACAGATGAGGAAACTGAGGCACAGAGAGGTTACAGAGCTGCCCAAAATTCCCCAGCTGGAAGACGCCAGGGCAGCAGCTCGCCTCCCGCAGCCTGGCTCAGGGCCTGCGCCCCAACCTGCCACACCGAGGGGAGCACTGGGGCCGCACCCAGGCACCTCTCTTCTGGGGGGCCGCAAACCCCTCTCCTGGAAGAAGGGCAGCACCCCTTGATTCCGGAGTGTTCCCCAGCTCTAGCGGGCTCTGGCTGTAATTAAACGAAGAGTGTAAACAAGATGTATTAGGCTTTTAATTACTTTTGCAGCACTGATTTGCATATGGACAATGTGCTAATCACAAATGGCTTTTTTAACCACTCATGAGCAAGAAGAAGGCAGAAACGTCTGCTGGCAACAAGTCCGGGCCGCTGCGGGGACTGTGAAGGGGTCCAGCTGCAGGACCGTGGGCCCGAGGCCCCGTGCCGCCCTGGGCTGGCCTCTCCCAGCCCTCCTGGAGAGCACACACCTACCTACAGCTCGCTCATCAGGACCAGACTCCAAGACGGCCCATTGACTGCTCCACAGACCACAAAGCCCTCCCCAAACGTGCGGGCACTCGACATTCCTCCTGACACTGTCACCCTCAGCAACTGCCACGGGGCTGCCGTCGGCTGGCCCTTTCTGATGCCTGGGGCCTGCGTGGCAATGAGTGCCACCGCGTGCCTATCGGCTCGAGGGGTCACGGGCCCCAACTCCCAGCCTGGTGCCGTGGCACCAACCTCCATGTAACCTTTCCTCTAAATGTCCACGACGGGGCGTCTGGCTGGCTCAGTCGGTCAAGCGTCCGACTTCAGCTCAGGTCACGATCTCACGGTTTGTGGGTCTGAGTTCTACGTCAGGCTCTGCGCTGACAGCTCGGAGCCTGGAGCCTGCTTTGGGTTCTGTGTCTCCTTCTCTCTCTGCCCCTCTCCCACGTCAAAAATAAACAAACATTAAAACAAAAATGTAAATGGCTGTGACCATGCGACAGTCACACAGTTGCCCAGAGAGAGCCTGGGGCTTCAGGCTTCCAAGGCTCCCTCACCCTTTTATTTACTTGTCCTCAGAGCCTACAGACAAAGACCCCTGAGTTTTCAAACAGCCACACATCTCAAACACCAAATCCTGGACATCACAGGGTCCTCAAGTTCACCTGGGTTAGGGTCTCCTTAATTATAAGGCAAGAGGGGCTTCTGTCCCCACGTCACTCAATACACTTGTGGAGGAGGGTGGTCAGAAAAGTTTCCTTTCTGTGAAAATACTTGACTTTCTCTTCAACTTTCTTTCCTTCTGGTTTGGGAAATTACATGAAGACTTAAAAGGTGATGCCCCTCATGGGAATTTCCCGGGAAATTCATGAAGCTACGAGTAGAGACCAACCAGACTCGAATCACTGGCTCACAATGTGATCTCGGCCTCAGCCCTGCATCAGCAAGGATGTGGACTGGTCCTTGTTCAACTGATGACACTTCTTTCTGGTCTCAGCTACCCTGCTACAGAATGGGGAATAGGGCAAGGTCTGGATCAGGGTTGGGTGAACCACCAGACAGCACCTCACTGATCTTGAATGGCCAGCAGCAGAGGGAAGGGCAGAGCACTGTGTGTGGTTCAATGCGGTGTGTTCATGGGCAAGTCACTGTCCTGCTCTGGGCCCACTTTCCCTTCTCGTCCTGACATTCAGGGTGGGAGGTGTCGTCCAGAATGTGCTACGTTAAGGAGGCCGCATTCCACGGAAGCAGCTGGTCATCCATCACTTCTCCCTGAAACCTTCCAGGGCACAGGGCTCTCCCATCTCTGAGAGGCTGCTGTTTTGCATTCTCTATCATTCCGTGAGCACATTCAGAGAGCTGAACCAGTGGTGGTACAGGTGGCAGGGCACTGGGTACCAGCCAGCGGCTCTTCGGCCCACTGAGGGAAAGCCAGTTCAAACTCCTAGAAGGCACCTGCCCAGCTCTCAGATCAAACCCTTGAAGACCAAGGCCCATGTCGTCTGGGCAGCCTCTTGACAGCCATTTTCCTCCTTTGGAACCCCAAGGCCAGGCTGACCTGTCACCGAACCCTAACCCTGCCTGGATCTGGCAGTTCCCAAGTTGCCTCACTGGTCTTACTTCCCCAGCTAGCGAGATGTAGCCCCTGGAGCACAGACATCCCTCATCTGGTGAATTCCAGGACGGGACATTCTCACGCTGGCAGCTCAGCTCAGCAACAGCCTGGCAAAGGCCTGGCCGGGGTCCAGATCCATGGCGCCCCGTGGCCTGAACGGTCATGGCCAAGCAGGTCTGAGGCAGGCCTCTAAGCGGGGCTGCGGGGCCCTGGCCCAATTGGAGGGGGACAGGCTGGGAGGACAGGACGTGTGAAGCAACAAGAGGCAGGATGAGTCTGGCGGGGCAGAGTGGGAACAGACTAAAAGAAGGGTAAATGCGAGCTGGGTAGTTTAGGCTGCATCATTCAGCCCCAGCTAGTGCACAGCGGCTGGCAGCCGCTCAGACGGACGAGACCTGTGGCTTTTTGCTGAGCCAGGGTGAGGGGAGGAAGGTGGCCAGAGGTGGGTTTTGTCTCTCTAGAGCAGTGCTTCTTAGCCACAGGTGATACCCTCACCCCCAAGACTGTGTGAAGGTACTTTAGCACCGTGGGGGTGGGAGAGGGGGCAGTAGAAGAACCGAGTGGGCAGGGACCGAGATATTAAGTGCCCTGCAAAGTCCCGCACGATGAAAAAACACCCTGGCCCAAATGCCAACACAGTACCACCCACCAGGAAACACGCACAGAAGGGGGGCTGTCCTGAGTCTGAGTGGTCACAGGTCGGGCTGAGGGTGCGGTGAGGCAGTGGTGACGGGCTTGCCGTCCTATAAAGTGCTTCTGGCAGAGGCAGGGAACCATGTGTTGGGGCCGTCCTGTCTGGGCAGGGTGCTGGACCTAAGGAGCTCCCCTGTGGCTCTGAGAATCAACAGTCTCCAATTCAATTTGTGGAGTGTGGCCAGTGCCTGCGTCTGTGGCAGCACCTCAACGGTGTGAGCCAGGTCTCCTGCGGGGTGCTCTGGGCCGCGGGTGCCTCGGTCGGGCTGGGTCACGAACGGGAGCCTAGCTCTGACTGCAAATGCACCTCACCCGGAAACGCGCTCGTTGGCGGGACCCGCAGAGGAAAAGCAGACAGCATGGCGGGTCTGTTGCTCAGCTGGTAGAGCACTGGGCAAGAGCGCGCCCAGCTCAGCAAGGGACCTGCGGAATACTTAGCCACAGAACTTGCGGGGCCTGAGCCCACGCTCCTTCTGAGGCTGGTGCAGGGCGGACCGGCCAGTTCCTCAGTGCCTGATGGCCTCAGCCACACCATTCGCACCTGTGTCCCTGCGCTTCTGGTGGCCCCACCCCTGTGCTAACAGCCCAGCCTCACTCGGTTCCTGCGTGGTCGGCCTGGGCTGGCTCTGGCCCCATCCATCTGCCGGTGGGACCATCAGCTCTGTGACGTTCTCGGGCCCCTTCTGGGCCCCGGGTGTCTCCGGGTTTGCCCAACACCTCGCTCAGGAAAAGGGGGAAGACCCTGGGCTCAGGATGGTTACCTTTCAGCCCAGAGTCTAGAACCTCAAGAAGAGACGGCCCTCCACTGAAGGGACAAAGCAGTTAGGCTGGGTAAGACCAGTGCTTGCAGCCTCCGTTGTCACACTGGAGAAACGGCGCTCACCCACATGGATTTAAAGAACAGCGGCATTTGAGGAAACAGGGAATATCCTCACGGCTGCTCAGAGGTCCCCACCCCAGTCCTGCCACCTGAGGGGCTCTTCCAAGGGCACGTCGGGGCCTGAGGGCTGGCTGCCTAGCGCCCACCCCTGGAGGCGCGTGCCCACTCACCTGTGCGACAGAGTGGGTTTCATGGAGCTCATGGAGTTGAGGGGAGGCTGCATGGGGAGTTTCCCGGGGGCGTCGCTCTGGCGGCTCTTCTGATGTCGGAGAAGCAGCAGGCGGCCGAGCTCCTCGCACCAGGAGGACAGCAGGGCTACGAGGAAGGACAGGATGGTCAGCGGGCCCCACGGCCACCTCCTCCTGCCACGCCCACACCCCCGTCGCGGGCCCACACTGGGTGCTCCCACCTTTGTGTGACACCGGGAGAGCCACTAAGCCTCCTCACCTGTACAGCGGGACTAACACCCCAAAGGAAGGGCTAAAAGGCTCCTGATGCTGGAGGAGGGCAGCAGAGGGGGGCACATTTCAAAGGCTACCACTTTGAGAAGGACAAGCCCAGAGGCGGCAAAGAGGAGAGACCGGACATGACGGAGGGGATGTCAGGGGTCACACCCCCGGAGCAAGGGAGGGAGCCACGCACAGACCCTGTGTGGGGCGAGCTTAGGAAGGGCCTGCCGGCCCACCCCCAGACTTCTCAGCGAAGCCTCTGGAAAAGCAGCCCGACGTGGCTTCTCCCAGGCGGGGCAAACTTCACAAGGCATCCAGAGCCTTCCTGGAGCCTAGTGAGGATCCCAGGAGTGCCTGCAGGGTCCTCCATGGAAGAACTCCCCGCAGAAGTGCCCATCCTTCCAGTCAGCCCAGCGGCTGGCCCCTGTGTGCTGGGCACCCACGCTTTGGAGAACGAAGGATTTCTAGGGCAGAGGGCGGCCCACGGGTGGGGGCTAAGCTAGAGCGTGTGAGGGGGCAGCAAGGGCAGAAGCACAGGAGGACCCTCCACGCCCAGGCTTAGAGACATTAAGCACCGAGAGAAAAGCAGCTGAAGTTAACGGGGTGCTGGGGAATCATCTTCCACCGGCCTGAGGTAACCACCAGGGGCCAAAAGCAGCTCAGGCTCAGTCTGTCTGGCCAGGCCTTCCAAAGAGCACGAGGGAGTCCGGAAGGCCGGGCTGTCACCCCCTTGCCGTGTGAACCCACGGAGCTCGGAGACCCTCTCTGGGCCTCCGTTTGCTTGCAGAGGAAGAGGGATAACGACTCTTGCCCTGCCTTCCTCCCAGGGCTGTGGTGAGGGGTAGACGGGAGCAAAAAAAGGTGACCACACCCTGGCCCCCTCCTGCCATGAGTACTTCAGCCGGACTGGTCTGTCTGATGGCTACGGAAGTAGTCAGCCTTCGGAACCAGGACGGCTCAGCTCAGCCACTTGGCTGGGTGCAGAGCCCGCTCCGTCATTTCCAGGCTCTCCCATCTAGATGCTGTACAACATGCTTCCGCGCCCTTCTGTTCAAATGTGCCCTGCGTGATCCAGAATGCCAGCTGTTATCCCCATTCTACAGATGAGCAGACTGAGCTCAGGCGGGTGAAGTCCCTCGCTCACACTAACCACGCCTAGACGGGCAGAGGCACAGATGGTGTGTCCCCTGCCCCACACCCCAGTGGGGAAGCCCAAGCCTGAACCAAAATGTGGGGGAGCGGATGAAACCCTTCAGGAGGCAGACACCAAGTGGCTGTGGTCTCCAGCCCCGCCAGTTCAGTGAGGAACCCCTCAGGCCACGTGCAAATCATGCCCGTTGCTACATTCAGCTGGCACTGGGGGGGGGGGGGGGGGAACAACCTTGAGGCACAAAGCCCTGCCTGGAGGGGTTGCACAGGTCTGTCGCTTCAAACTGCCCAGACCCCGGGGAGAGAGCCCCATTAGCCCGAAAACCCTAAAGGCAGGGCCAGGGACCCCCTGAAGTCATGTCACACTCTGCCCCTTCTCGTGGTCCGCGTAAACTTGATCAGTAGTGGGGGGGCTAGGGGTTCTTTCCCGCTCCTCCCCAGGCGGGCAGGGGCCAAGGGCCAGCCACTAGGACCAGCCGGAGAACCCTGCCCATGCCGTCCTGCTGAGGCTGCCCGGGAGCAAGGTCCACCGGTTACCAGGGACCTGCTGGGGGCTCAAGGACAAGAGAAGGGCAGCGGTTCTTGCAGGGAACGGGGCGGGGTGGTGACGGGCCCTCCCGGCTTGCTGGGTTTGTCTGCTCTGCTGGTGCAGGGCCCGAAGACACCCGGTCAAGGAGGAAAGTGTGGGCTGAAAAGCAGCCTGTGCCCTCGGCCAGGAGAGCACCTGTTTCTGCCTCCAGGAGGGGCTGCTGGGGGGGGGGGGGCGGGGCAGCTAGGTCTTAAGAGATATGTCCTGGCCCTCTTTGTGAGGCTCATCTTGCCACCACCTGCACAGGGAGGCCCCTACCCTGGCGTGTGTCTGCCCAGAACCAGGGCAAAGCGCCCCTAAAGCGGGCATTCAGCACACATCTGCCGCAGCTGGAGGGGGAGGCAGCCTATTCAGAGAGGTTGGAACAAACAGAAATGAATTTCCAGATTGCTCCATTCTTCTCCTAAGCCCCTAGTTACTGCTTCTTGTGTGTGTGTGTGGTGGGGGGGGGGGGAGGGGGCGGGCACTGGGCATCTGGAAACTCATTTGCACGCCAAGCACGAGGCCTGCCGGATCGCAGCGACGGAGGGACTGCTCGGCTGCCAGCACAAAGGATGGCCACAGATGGTGCTGCCCGCTGCCCGTGGCCGCGCCTCCCAGCCCTCACCCTTCCCGGGGGGCACCACGCCACGCAGGAGCTCTCCTGCAATGTCACGGGCCACCCCCCTGCTTGCTCAAGGACAGCCCTTGTCTTCCCCCTGCTAGTGGAGTGGTTTTCCGTTACGGGAATAAAAGGAGCCGGTGGCATAGCAGAGTCTGGCTGTGAAGAGTCTGGAACGCTGTGAGCAGATGTGACATGTGCATTAGGCAGTCACGGTATCACACAGATGCCAGGACAGCCACGTTCCTACAATCAGGAGGCAAAGGGCAGGGAGCGAGGGAGGCAGCACCCTTCACCCCCTCGGCCTGAGCAGCCGGTGAGCACAGAGGCCACACTGGCAGACACATGGTGGCGGCTGCATGGGCACAGTGCGTGCTCTCTCATGGTGCAAGCCAACGCAAGCTGTTCTGGGGCAAATGCCGGTTCATGACGACGTGTGGGAATGTGCAGCCAAAGAGGGAGTCTGGGCACCGTCAGAAACCCTGGAGGACTGACGGACAGAGGCAGGTAGGGGATCACACAGGGACAGAGAGACAGCCCAGCAGGGTGGGGTGTGTCTGGATGTGCACTGCCTGTGTGCGTGCATCTGGGCCGAGCTGAGTGCGTGTGCTCTGATGGGCCAGCCCCGCCTGCACGTCTCTCTGGCCCTGTGTCTCTGCTCTGGGCACTCTCTGCAGTGGGAAAGGAAAAGGGACCACTGAGCACAGGCTCTGGGACTCGGGAGGGATGCCAGGCACGAAGAGTCCCCGGATGGGGTGGGAGGGACCGGAAGGTGTGGTGCAGAGTGCATGAGGGTCCCCGCAATGGGAAGAGTTTCGGGAGGGGATACCAGCCTTCCACATCTCAGGGGCCCCTCGTACCGTGTAGACAGCCACCGCGGCCAGCCCTCTGGCCGGTCCTGGGAGGACCACTCACCCGGACAGCCTGGGTTCCACCCCTTAGAGCTACATGACCTTGGGCAAATCATACGAGCTCTCTGGGCCTCAGTTTCTTTACCTGTTAAGTAGGCATTAATGGCAATGCTCACTCCTTGGAGGGCTGTTGTGACATGTAAATGACACTAACCCCTACAAAGTGCTGAAAACAGTGTCTGGTGTAATAAGCATGGAGGCCCAGAAGGCACCGTGTGTGGTCTCTGGAGAGCAGGTGAGGGTCTGCAGATGCTCCCTGTTCCCACTGTCAGGAAAGCGCCTTGCGAATGGGAGGAGGCCATCCCAGCCCCCTCCAGGAGGTGTCAAGGCAGCCCCAATGGGCACCAGTGCCCCCGCTGCCCCAAGAGAGGGCAGGGACAATGGTAGGCAGCCCACGGGAAGTGGGGGCTAGGTGCCCTGGCTCAAGTACAGGTGACAGTACTTGGCTCATGTCCTGCCACCGTGAGATTTCACACAGGCTGCTTCGTGGCTTGGAGACCCAGTTTCCCGATCTGTGAAATGGGCTTAACGGGGGCTGCCTGCCTCAGAGAATGGATGTGAGCTATGATTAGTGTTGCCAACCAACTACAGGGCTGTCCGAGCAGAAGCCAGAAAGGGAGGGAGGGTGGGCAAGGGAGCAAAGGAACCCTGTAACCCACAGTAGTCCCAGAAGAGCAGCCCCCTGCATCCCACACCCACCACATAGCCCTGGGGGAGCTGGTGAGGCACTGACTTTGGAACCAGTCCATGAAACCTGATCCCAGCTCAGTCTCTACCACCTACGTGACACCTCGAGCAAGTTGCCTAATCTTCCTGTGCCTCAGTTTTCCCATCTCTAAAATGGGGTGGTGGTATTCTGCTCCCCACCTCATAGGATAGTTGTAAGGATGAGCTGAGTTACCATCAGGCCCTAGTAGGTACTATCCACGTGTTTGCAACGATGACAATGGGCATCACTGACCCACTGGTAGATGAGTGACCAACAGGATGGGGGCCTCGGTGTCTCCGGCCACTTGGGGCCATACAACAGTCAAATGAACCGAAGAGGAATGCGGTTCCAGAAGTGCACAGGGGCTGGGGTGGCTGCAGGGCATCTGTAAGTCCCAGGCCCTGGAGCAGATGACGCCCAGCTGGCTGCAGGCTCTGTGGAGTGGCCCCTTCCTCCTGCCTCCCTCCTGAGCCGCTGAGGTGGGTGCCAAGGGGCAAAGTGAGAACAATATCATGTGCCCTGCTCCGCCGGAGACACAGGATGCAAAAATCAAGTCCTCCCTTAGAGGCGGCTCTGCCTTTGCTTCAGCCACTGGAAAGGTGCCTTTAGCCCTGAAAGGGAGGAATTTGGGCTTCCCTGGGATCCACCACGGGACCCCTAGCCCAACAGCAGCCATCTGAGGGGTTCCTTGGGGTCCAGAGCAACCCAACACCCAGACTCGGACACCTCACCTGGCCCTATCTTAAGCCCTAGTCTTCAGCAGCCAAGTTCCTGATGGCCACACCACAGGGGAAGCAGCAGCCCTGAGGGTCAGTGGACAGGAGAGGGGACTCCAGCCGGAGGATGACATGACAGCTGAGTTCTCGGTCCCACTGCCTGCACTCGTCTTTCTGCAACTTACCCAGGG